GAATTATAAGCGATTGTTACCGTTATGAAGGAAATATTTAGTTTACTCAAAGCTGTAATTATTTATGATTTACATGTATATCTCAGCTGCTCTATTAATTCCTACAACTCAGCTAATATTGTTTATCATTGCTCAATTGGTTTTCTATTTTAATTTTAACATGTATAGGTCAATTATAAACTATAATAAAATAAACTAATTGTTATAATTTAAAATAAAATTAAAAAATTTAATCTGTTATAAATCATAATTACTTATACTTCAAGAAAAATAATAAAATATGCATTAAAACTAATAATTTAATTTGTGAGATTATTATTTCAGTCCATTTCATTGCAAATCCAGTTCAGTAATCAGCACAGTTTAAAGAACGGAAAAATGTATTTGACGTGTAAAAATATTATTAAACACTAAGATTTAGTCGCGACCGAATAGGCTTCTTTCCTAATTGTTTGATTTATATGTATAATTCTCTACTGCTATAACATATATTTTAATTAGTATTTATAAGAAAAATAAGATTAAATCATCATTTTACACAAAAACTTGTTATTCTAAATAAGAGATAAAATAGTAAGTAACAAAATATTCGCATGAAAAAAGGATTTAATCTATATTAATGCGTTACCATAAATTTCTTGTTTCAACATAATTATTAACTTTTATTGAAATATATAATTATTGCGGCAATAACTTATTGCTTAATACGAAGTAATACTATTAATAATGAATACAAGGTAAATGAAAACAAGCATATTTCTTTTGCTCTTTGAAGAAAAATAAATACTCTTTTTACTATTATTATTATACTACTCATATTACTACTATTATAATAAATTATAATTTATTAGTAGTATCAGGCTGCTCCTCGCCCTGATAAAGTGGACTGCAAGGTTCATGAAACGTTGACATTCCAAGAATGGATCTGGACACGAAGGAAACCCGGGAAACGCATAATCTTTATATAGAAAGCACCCGTGAAAGTCTCAAGAATATTATTATAATAAATTATTAAACATTATTAAAAATTTGAAAAATTATATCAAATTTTACAGACTCTAAATCTTAAAAATAAACAATCTATACAAGGCTAATAAGAGTCACAGGCTGGTGCCAACGATTAAACTCTATATCATTAATCGATTATGTAGAATCTTCTTTATTTTATTAACGTTTCAACTCTCTTTGGAGTCTTCTTTAGCAACACATATTTCTAATCCTAAATCATTGAATCACCTGTGACATTTCGTCACATGTGAGTCACTAACAGGTTCCCAACTGAAAGTGGATCCTGATTTGACCATATAAAATTAAAATTGAGTCAATAAAAAAAAACCAATTCCAAGTAACTCACCTCCAACAGAAAGTTTAACAATTCCATGAAGCTTTGGAGATTTATAATAAATTATTGAATAAGTTATCTCAGTTTTATACATATTCACTATTTGTAATCTTCCTCTCCGGGAGTCAAACGCGTTTAACGAACAGTTTTTAATTGCACACCGCAAAACAAAACAATTAAGTCCTAACTAACATTATAATATTCCAAATATAAACGTAAAGTCATAAATTATATGTGCACAAGACGTGAAAAATACAATAAATTCTTTATGAAGTGATTTAATTGGTCATCAATTCATTTAGCATGTATATCGTCATATATGCATGATGTAATTCTTCAGTGTCAGACCATAAATTCAATCCATTTTTTTGCATGAGAATGTGCGCTTTTTCAAAGATTAGACGTTTATTTAAAGATCTCTCCTGATCCAAAATTTGGACATTCTCCCAATCAAACTCAAGATTCAATTCAATTCTGTGATTCATAATAACCGATTGTGAATTGATATTCCAATTGATGTGATTACGGTGTTCAGTAATTCTAAAGTAATTCTACTCCAAGTAATTCTACTTCAATTTTTCTACCAGTTTGTTCTACGTAAGACGCGTCATAATCTTTGCATGTTAATTTGTATATTACATTTTTATTCTGATTCTTTGGGAGGATATCCTTCTGGGCCTTAATGAATCTATTGAGTTTGTTATTACTGTAAAATGCTGGTTTCAGGTTTTCTTTTTTACAAATTTTTAGAAATTTATCTGACGTGATATTTGTGTAAGGAATTAAAAACTAAGAAGTTCTTTCTATATTTTCCGAATTGTCATTATTGGACATGGAATCTTGTTCAACAGGAACACGTCTAGAAGATATAATAAAAATTTTAATCTTGTAGAAATGATGAAAAATGAATTCCATTGGGTAATCATTCCTTGCGAAAGTGTTGATTACTAATCTAATTTTTTTTGATAAAATTTTGATTCAGATAATAAAATAGCTCTATCTCAATCATTCCAAATACTACTGTTTTTTTCTGTAATATAGGATGTGCAAATAAAAAAATTCAAGTACCGTCCTGAGAAACTAGGTTTGTGACCAGTCAAATTCTAAGTAATCTTTATTCTTAATAATAGTCACAACTAAAAAATTAATTATCTTCCCTCATTTTCCAATGTAAACTGTAACCTATGTAAAATGAGTTAAAAACAGTCAAAATGCATTCTATTGAATCAATTGGAACTGCAAAATAAAGAAGATTCCACACAATCGATTAATGATATAGATTTTAACGTTGGCACCTTCATCAGACTGTGACTCTTATTGGTATCGTATAGATTGTTTATTTTTAATTTGAAAAATTATGTTACATAGCAGTATCAGATCTTGAATAATTTAATGTAATACTTTTAATTAAACTAAGACATATGATGTAAAACCAATATTTTATGAACTTTATAAATCAACAACTCAATAAAATATTAAAGTCTCAAGAATATTATTATAATAAATTATTAAACATTATTAAAAATTTGAAAAATTATATCAAATTTTACAGACTCTAAATCTTAAAAATAAACAATCTATACAAGGCTAATAAGAGTCACAGGCTGGTGCCAACGATTAAACTCTATATCATTAATCGATTATGTAGAATCTTCTTTATTTTATTAACGTTTCAACTCTCTTTGGAGTCTTCTTTAGCAACACATATTTCTAATCCTAAATCATTGAATCACCTGTGACATTTCGTCACATGTGAGTCACTAACAGGTTCCCAACTGAAAGTGGATCCTGATTTGACCATATAAAATTAAAATTGAGTCAATAAAAAAAAACCAATTCCAAGTAACTCACCTCCAACAGAAAGTTTAACAATTCCATGAAGCTTTGGAGATTTATAATAAATTATTGAATAAGTTATCTCAGTTTTATACATATTCACTATTTGTAATCTTCCTCTCCGGGAGTCAAACGCGTTTAACGAACAGTTTTTAATTGCACACCGCAAAACAAAACAATTAAGTCCTAACTAACATTATAATATTCCAAATATAAACGTAAAGTCATAAATTATATGTGCACAAGACGTGAAAAATACAATAAATTCTTTATGAAGTGATTTAATTGGTCATCAATTCATTTAGCATGTATATCGTCATATATGCATGATGTAATTCTTCAGTGTCAGACCATAAATTCAATCCATTTTTTTGCATGAGAATGTGCGCTTTTTCAAAGATTAGACGTTTATTTAAAGATCTCTCCTGATCCAAAATTTGGACATTCTCCCAATCAAACTCAAGATTCAATTCAATTCTGTGATTCATAATAACCGATTGTGAATTGATATTCCAATTGATGTGATTACGGTGTTCAGTAATTCTAAAGTAATTCTACTCCAAGTAATTCTACTTCAATTTTTCTACCAGTTTGTTCTACGTAAGACGCGTCATAATCTTTGCATGTTAATTTGTATATTACATTTTTATTCTGATTCTTTGGGAGGATATCCTTCTGGGCCTTAATGAATCTATTGAGTTTGTTATTACTGTAAAATGCTGGTTTCAGGTTTTCTTTTTTACAAATTTTTAGAAATTTATCTGACGTGATATTTGTGTAAGGAATTAAAAACTAAGAAGTTCTTTCTATATTTTCCGAATTGTCATTATTGGACATGGAATCTTGTTCAACAGGAACACGTCTAGAAGATATAATAAAAATTTTAATCTTGTAGAAATGATGAAAAATGAATTCCATTGGGTAATCATTCCTTGCGAAAGTGTTGATTACTAATCTAATTTTTTTTGATAAAATTTTGATTCAGATAATAAAATAGCTCTATCTCAATCATTCCAAATACTACTGTTTTTTTCTGTAATATAGGATGTGCAAATAAAAAAATTCAAGTACCGTCCTGAGAAACTAGGTTTGTGACCAGTCAAATTCTAAGTAATCTTTATTCTTAATAATAGTCACAACTAAAAAATTAATTATCTTCCCTCATTTTCCAATGTAAACTGTAACCTATGTAAAATGAGTTAAAAACAGTCAAAATGCATTCTATTGAATCAATTGGAACTGCAAAATAAAGAAGATTCCACACAATCGATTAATGATATAGATTTTAACGTTGGCACCTTCATCAGACTGTGACTCTTATTGGTATCGTATAGATTGTTTATTTTTAATTTGAAAAATTATGTTACATAGCAGTATCAGATCTTGAATAATTTAATGTAATACTTTTAATTAAACTAAGACATATGATGTAAAACCAATATTTTATGAACTTTATAAATCAACAACTCAATAAAATATTTTAACACAGGTTACTTAATGCTTAAAAATTTTAATATTATATATTTCATTCATTTACATACAATCACGCATACACTAAAAGAAAAGATTGGCTGCTACAGCAAATTAAATGGTAAAATATAGCATAGAATTTTTAATTGGCTGCAACAACCAATTTTTGGTTGTGTTAACTTATCCGCAACGTCAATATAGGATTTTGACTAATCAATCAAAAATTGACTGTTGCAGCCAACTTAACAAGCAATTTAACATTACGCAGTGACATGTGATAATCTAACAAATGATATATTTTAAATTATACATATAATACAAATAAGTATATGATAAATATTTATTTACTCACGTATTTCTGCTGTAACATATGTTGTCACAAGTGCAAAAGCAAAAAGTGCGATAAGCATTTTCCAAACGAAAGATATTGTTTTGTGGTGTAGGATCTTCTAGAACATCTTCTCAGTGAGAACAATCGTGATGAATGTATGATGCAAATTAAGAATCTATATTATACAATCACTCATTTTATAATCTCCCCTCAATTCTCCTTTTAACAGCACATGCGTAGAACGAAAATGCTGTTATACATTCTATATTAACTCGTTTTTTCATTCTGCGCATGCGATCATATGACGTATAAAAGAGAAAGAGAAAGAAAGAGAGAGAGAGAGAGAGAGACAGAGAGACAAAGAGAGAGAGAGAGAGAGAGAGAGAGAGAGAGAGAGAGAAATAGTTCAAGAAAAAAATTAATTTTATAAAAACAACTAATCTTCTATAAATTAAAGCGAAATTTAAATTTTAAATGTATTTACTTATCATAAATATTATTTTTAAAAAAGTAGACTTTGACATTTATATATAATTATTATTAATAATATATCTGTGATGCTTATACTTCAGATCAGAAACGTATATGAAACTGATATAAAACTTAATAACATAAAATAGAACAATACAAAAGAAAAATAAAGTATAATAACATGGGAAAATGTGGCTAGATTTTTATTACATCAATTGTTAAAATATATTGTTAAAATATATTTATAGTGGCTAGAAATTTTTATTACATTATTAATTCGGTAAAATATATTCAAAATATATTTAATATATTAAATATATTTTAAATATATTTTTTTAATAAAAAAGAATGTAATATAAGAATTGCAAATAAATAACGATAACTCGACAATAAATAAAAATATAAATATAGTTTTAGAATCGATTGTTATAATTTTTTTTAGGATTAATATTTTACTCAGTAAATATTAAAGTATATTGAATGGATTCTTAGTAACTATAATATGTCAATATGCGAAATACACGAATTTATTGAGCAATTAAATTTATGAATGATATTAAAAATGAATTTTGCCTTTCTCTTAACACTCCAACTTCAATTTTACGTTAATATTCGGTTTATTGTTTTTTCTAATGAGAAACATCGCTTTTATATATCCAGGTCAGGTAACTATAGTGTAGAATTATGGAACACTCCATACCCAAAATTTATCTTAGTGGAAGTATCTTAGAAGTATCAAGTACCTTAATGGAAATTCACACCAAAGGAATCCAAGAATTGGATTAAAAATGAACTGTGAACTTTTTAAGTCAAACGATATTTGTGATGGCAGTACAACTGCTCGCATAGCTTAGATTCAACTTTCAGAGATCATTTATACCTACTGGTCGTAACTGTGTGCCGTATGTCGTTATCTATAAGATTTAACTGATCACAGTCCAGCGGTTCGCTCTTACAATTGAATGAGAGGGAAATACTCGAATGTGATTAATCAATTCTTACAAATTACTAGCATACGATTACGACCAAATAATACAAGGGCATATAAATGATCCCTTACTAATTATTAGACAGAATGACGCAATTCGCAATTGTAAAAAAGGGGATGGTAACAAAAAACACAAAATAAATAAAAAAATAAAAAAAGATCATCATTTTGTACTCTCATCTTTTTCGTCGATCAAAAATACCACATCCACGGGCGAAGTAAGAGAATTTCGACCCTGTATATATTCAAAGTCTTCATGTGTGAGATACAAGAAAATTGCGTAAAATCACAGACGTAACAGATATATACATAGACTACGTGTTTGCTATCTTAAAATAGCATTTCTGCATCTGTACTCCGTTAGAAAGAAAATGTTGAAGTACATCAGTAGTTCTCTTCAATTCATTTTGAGTGAGAAGATAGCTTAAATATATATGCTCTAAGGCCGGTATTCATAAGTCGGTTCTTATGTTTAAAATTGTCTTTTAAGTATAGTCTTAAGATAAATAACCAATTATAGAGCCATATTAGCATCTTAAGATATTACTTAAGACGACTTACAATAAGAACCGAAAAATACTAATCTAACAAAGATAATAGAATAAGTGATAGGTGATTTAACCTTATCATTTCTATTTTAAAAAAAGGAAAAGCTACATGCACCAGGTTACTTCTCTCTTTTTAATTCTTTATTGGAATGCTCAAAGTTTGTGTTTATGCGTAAAACAAATGATACTATAAATGTAATATAGGTGATATAGGCTTATATTTTTTATTCGGTTTTTTTTTAAGATTATCTTAAGTAATGTCTTAAGATGTTAATACGGCTGTATAATTGGCTTATGATATTTTCAGACTGTACTTAATATACGAATATAAGAACTGATTATGAATACCGGCCTATAGACTGTAGATCACACATTCCTATGAAGTTGTCATTATCTGTTTAGAAAAAATAAAGCAATAAGTTGATTTGTATCGTTCTCTCTCTTTCTCTCTCTCTCTCTCTCTCTCTCTCTCTCCCCCTCTCCCTCTCCCTCCCCTCTCTTTCTCTCTCAAATCATGAGTTGAAAAGAGATACTCATGCATTCTCTTTCTAACGAAGCTAATAGCAAGGAATATACAATTTATGTCTATTACGTCTGTGAATAATATGCACGTGCTGCAAATATCAAATAACATTAACATAAACCGATTAATTATACATATAGTATAGAATCCTCTGCTACTTTATAAGTCCTCATTTATGTTTTAATGACATATATGTGTGTATAGTGAAAATATTTCGTGTATGTCTGTTTCATTCATTTTCTCTGATATGGTAATCATATTATACTAAATATAAAGTAAAACAGTATCACAAAAGAAAATTAATATCCAGTTTATTAATAAATTATTTAAAATTTAGGAAAATGTGGAACACAACTTAATCCAAGATGTATGATTCTACATCGACTTAGTAACAAGTTTTATCTTTCCTTATATTTTTATATACAGGGTGGTCCATGTAAGGTATTATATAAACTATTATCTCTGAAAGTGTGCGTCAATGAAAAATGCATTCAGATAACAATTTTGTGACTTTGTGAGGGGGATAAGATAAAATCATTGGTTTGACCTCGGGTGATGGGTTGTGTTATCAAGGTTAAGGCAAGATTACTTTGAATTTTTTAAATGGAACATTCCATTTTTTACATTGCATATTCTTGTAGCAATTGTAGCACATATCGAAAGCTTTTCAAAATTATGATAAAATATTTGTTTATGAAGAATTTATTGAGTTACAAAATTTGAAAATTACAGTATCGCCGGCATTAGCATTACCCAAGATGTTTAAAAAACGATATATATTAAAATCTCTTGAATGTTGTTCAGGATCATGATTGTAACAAATGTTATTAAGAGTTTGACTTTAAATAGCATTCAAAAGATTTCAGCCGTTGTTTAGGCACCTTGAGTAACGCCGGCGATTCTACAACTTTCAAACTTTATAATTCGAAAAGTTCCTTATGAAAAAATATTTTATTGTATTTCGAAAAGCTTTCGAGATATGCTTGAAAAATATGTAATAAAAATGGAATGTTCTATTTAAAAAATTCAAAGTAATCTTGCTAACTTTTATAACGTCAAGGTCAAATCAATGATTCCATTTTATGTCCCCCTTGAAGACACAAAACTTTTTAAAAATGTATTTAGATAAAAAGACTTTTATCTAAATACATTTTTCATTTATGTGATGCATACTTTTAAAGATTACTTGTGACATTTTAGGTAGACCACCATGTATATGAAGAATAGACATTCAAAATGCGTTTAAAAGGACTATGCCCAGTTTGGGCACCGAACAGCATTAAGACTTAACTAGGATTGTAGAACATGAAAAAAGGATTAAGGAGATCCTAAAGCGAAGCTCGAATATCGACGAAGTCACCAGAGATCACGCCGTGCACCGCGCATCGATGTTTTTATACTACCACATCAATATCTCACGTAACCTATGATACACGCAGTCGTACATTCGTGTCAATTTTCGTATAACAAATTCGTCGCGATAAAACGTCATCTAAGTTTAATTCTAAGAACTCGACATTATTTGTTCGTGTAAACTACTGGGAACCACTATTTCGTACGTACAGTTGCAAAGTATTCATTTCAAATGTTGTTACGACTTGACAGCTGAAGCGTCATGTTTCATTAAGAAATGGTAAAGAATATATCAATTTTGAAATTTTTGATCGTTCTAGGCATAGACTCCACTTTTCAGACACGTATTAATGCATATACTTTAATCCTAGAAAAGGATTTTCGAATCGGTGAAAGAGAAAAAAGTATTTGTTATACAAAAATTACATGATTTAATCGATAAAGTAGAAGGCTTTAGGATCCTTAAAAAGTTCCATATGCACAACTTTGTAAAATAAGTCCCTTGACAGCTATTCAAAATTCGCTATTATGATCATGTAGTGTGTACCATGTAAGACTGGTTTTATTCGATTTCTCGAATCATCTAGAATATGTTTAATCTTGACGAAAACAACTAAAACTTTTTTTGGATTTCAAATGAATAGTTATAATGAATGATATATATTAATCGATGAAGAGTAGAGAGAGACATTCAAAGTATGAAACAAAAGGTTTTAATTGATTTGACAAAGAGGCTGCAGTTCAATATTTTTAACTGTAACATTTTCATCTTTTGTTTCTACGCTTTCTTTTATAATGGCATTAAGAGGCATAACATATATATTTAAATGTGTTGAGTGAGGCTCTTATGGAACTACTAGGCTCTTGTTCCAAGAAATCTAGCAGCCAACAAATGTTTACGCGACTGGTTTTTTAAATATTTTCCACGTTGCCCACAGTAGATCTTATTGTGATCAGGGGTGCAATTCTGTAACTGTTTTACACGCCTACCGACAGTTGTCGATGTCGTTGCGCAGCTTTTTCACCATATAAAATATCTACGTAACGACACCGACAACTGTCGATAGGCGTGTAAGGACAGTTACTGAATCGCACCCCGTAGCTACTTCAGAGTGACCCCATACCAAAGGCTGGTTTACCCCGATTGGTACATTCGCCGCTTGTCCATCATCCTCCCCCCCCTCCCCCCTTCACCCAGAGCGAACTCCAGGGATAACGCCGTCATTACAAGCAAATCCGAATTTATGTGACATGACGGCATGAATAGCGACCAGGGACTTAGTCGGATTAATGAACTG